CATCCTCTCCTGCTTTAGGTATTATGCAAAAGTAGAGCTATGTACTGGTGATGCCTCACTCCAAAGAATTCCAAAGACTGCCTCCAGTCGCTTCATATATTGTAGGTGTTAAATATCACTGGAAACAAAATAATGCATTATATGAGCGTGCAAATATAAAGGGTGTAATATAGTTGACCACTATTGTTCTCTGAAACTATTCTTAGAAACAGGAGTGAAATAAGAATTACATACTTCCAACAGTCAACTAAGACTAAGTCAAATGCTCCTGGTAGATCAAGCAGAGTTCACAGAATCCCACTTCCTCTGTCTCTGCCCCAGGTCATCAAACAGAAGATCAAATCAGATGAAAAGTTATGAAAATCAAGAACACATACAGCTCCATGGTTACAAGCCCCTTAACATATTTTCATTTCTAGAAGATGACTATTGAGCAACAGTACAATTGTCTGTGTCCATTAAGGGCTTTTTCAGGAGTGGACCTTCACGGGATCACTAGCTCCAGCTTCTGGAAATCTTCCCAGAGTGTCAGATTCCATAAGCCTCTAGGAACAGACCACCTTAGCATTTCTCTAACATTCTGAAATATAAAAAATTTCAAACTTTAATTTCATATTTATGCCTTTATGAATTTTTGAATATGGCTTCTAATTTGCAGAAACTGATGGAACAGCAATTGGAAATTAGGATACCCTTTTTAATGTATGATAAAACTATTGGTGCTTTTAACACCCAAAGCTTAAATTCTATATCTAGTTTACCTATAGTTTTATTTCCAGAACTTCATTAAATTATCTCTTTGGCATCCCATATCCAGTTCAATTAGAGGTATCTACTGTATCATACTGTACAAATCTCATTAATACTGAAATGTAAAGACTGGTATTTAATATTACCAGAAGGTAACTGAGAGCCAGTTTGGTGTCATGGTTAAGGCACTAGGCTAGAAACCAGGGGACCATGAGCTCTGGTCCTGCTTTACACACGACGCCAGCTGGGTGACCTTGGGCCAGTCCCTCTCTTTCAGCCCTAAGAAGCAAGCAATGGCAAACCACTTCCAGAATCTTGCCAAGAAAACTGCAGGGACTGGTCCAGGTAGTCGCCAGGAGTCAAAAATTGACTCGAAGGCATACACACACAAAAGAAGGTAACCGCTAAACAATTTTTGCTTCTGAGAGTTTTATAATTTACAAATTTATTCTCCCATTACCCCTCATAAGCCATACATTTTAAGAGTACTGTGACATGTCAGATGAAGCTTGCTGTCCCCAAAGCTAATGCAATGCTTTTAGCACCCAGTGAACTGTGATATGTACAAAAGTACCATTTTTACAAGCGGTCTACCAGCTTGGTCTTTCAGCGGAAAATAGTTAGGGTGCCCCTAAGAATAAGCAGAGGGCCTGGGTGCAGAAGTTTTTTTTACTGTCTAAAACCTAGATGAAATGCCCTTAGCTTACTCACAAAGGACAACCCTGGACCCACAAAAGCTACAGAAGCAGCAGGTATTGAGAAAGATGCTTAGATCTTTCCTTGGGTTGCTCAAGACATCTGCTTGGCTCCAGGAATGCTCTTCCCCTGCCTCCCAAAGTTCTGCCAACCATCCAGACAGGAGGTGATTTGAGAAGCAGAGAAATCTATTTTCTACCCCACCCTGAGCCAGTATTCTGCACAGCTGAAGAAGGCAGGGGGACAGAATTCTCATCAGCTTCTCCCCAAGCAGAAGTTAAAGTAAACTTTGCTCTTATTATTTATTGGTACAGATTTTCATTACCTACCCTTGCAGTTTTTAAAATTACATACTCTGTATTTATCCCAAAGGAAGATGATCCCACCCATCCCCAGGAAGATAAGACAAACTCCTGGGCCTTCTCAGTGAATCTAAGACAACTCTGTTGTTTAAAAGTAAATTCTTCAAGTGAAAAACCAAAAACACTTTCCTTTCAGGTAAATTCAGTATTGGAATGTTATCAGAAGGTCATATTCCCCTCAGAAAGAGCCAAGCCATGATACGGCATTTAACATTAGTCACTTTCAGTTAGAAGAAATACTTACCAGTTATTTGGCTCATATTTCTTCAACCTGCTTCTCCTTCTTAGAGTAGCATGAAATGAAAGGTCACATCCAAAGGGCAAAAGCCACATGGATTGTCTCTGTCAAATGAACAACTGCCAACTCCAAGCTTACTGCTTTCAATGGCACTTATATATTTATTGATTCAGAATATTTTATTATGTCCTTGAAAATTTAGAAAGCATACATTCACTGAGGATGCAGAGCAAATCAAACAGAAAATGTAGCTCTCTATTAATAACACTAGAAATACTTCAATGGAGTTTTTGTCTTTTACAAAACGTATCTGTATGTTTTTTTTTCTAACTTTAATTTTCATATGTTATACAAAAGAAAATAAATTTGCAATCAAGTACAGCTATATTTGTTTCCATACAACAAAAACAATTTTCTATCTGTTAATAAAACTGACAATGTACAAAATCAGATCATTTGACCCCTAAAAACTATTTTAGAAGTTTAACCTTTTCTTTTAAAACTCTAAATTTAGGATTGCTGCTGACTTTCTTATTAAACATGGCCAGGGTTTCCTCTTCAGATTTACGATGGTCACCTGTGACTGCATAATACTGAGCTATAACCTACAAAAGAAAAGGGAAAGAGGTAATACATCCAAAGTTTTGATACTATTTTCAGTTTAAGCAATTTTGTAGAATCCGTCTCACAAACATCCTCCTTCAGCAAATTATAAGGACAGTTATGTGTGCAGATGTTCATTTTTCCTTTCACTTAATTATTGAAAGTAATCTGCACATACAACATTACTTTCAGATTATGTGGGACCTGTTGATTTATTTATTTATCTACCTATCAAATTTGTCACCACCCATCTTGTTAAAAAAAAAGACTCTGGGTAGTTTACAGAGAAGCTAAAATCAGTTAAAAATACAATATAAAATAGACCTAAATAAATAAGAAATAATTTATTATATTTTTTCCAGTGCTTAAAAATCTGACCAGACTACTAGACTTAATTCAAACTATTTATAGCTTTTAGGAAATCAGTGGCAATGGTGGTTTTTCACTGTGCCTTGGGCTTAACATTTCATTCATGGCTCTGAGCTCTGCTGCTTCAGTCACAGAAGGTGGTTCACATGTTAGAATTAAAAAGAACAAAATGAAAATTGGAAAAGAAAACAAGAGCCCAAAAACCAGTATTGCATCCAACCAATTCTGAGCATCCTGACACTAGGGCATCTGCGCCTGCCCACTGTCAAGATCTTGAACTGCATGCCTGTAAAACTTCTATATGGATAAGCTTCTAATAGCATTTAGTTCTCCCACTTAATTTATTAAAGCTTGTTAAAAATATATGCTGTCCAAAATGTGGAAAACAGTATTATATTAGCAAATACAATCGTTTTTCCCAAACAGGAAGTCCCCAAAATCATCGTAGTGACTCAGCTGGATAAAAAATTTTTGAAGTCCATAATTTTGGAAGATGTCCAGATTAAGGAAGGTTGATATTTAGCAGTAGGAAGTCCTGCTTTAAAGAAAGTGCACAAGGCCAATTAAAGGCTAAAAGCTGCAGTCCAAAGGATACTGAACTGCATGCAAAAGCCACTGAGTTCCACTGGATTTATATTATAAGGAGTTAGCCATACAACTAAATGTGGCAACTCATTTATGCATGCATTTTATTTAGGCTGGGATCACACTGGGGTTTGTACTCATATTCTGGACGATGATCTCAATAGTGCCTTGGGGACAGAATATCAGTAATTCTCCTTTTCCATGCACGAACAGAAGCGCTATCACTTGTACAAGAGGTATGGGTTTCCAATCTAATTTTCAAAGCTGAAGTCAAAACCATTTTCTGAGTAATAAAGTTTAAGCACAGAGCACAAATACTGCAAAAAGAGACACTGAGTTAAAATGAGTTAAAACAGACCTTGGTTTTCAATTCCATGAAATGAATTATTGCAAACAGTGGATTTACTGCACAAGAGTTATTAAAAAGAGAGCCACCAGCCAGCAAGATTGCTGAAATGCAACTCAACTTCATAGCATGCTAGAAGTGTAACAATTTAGCAGCCTACTGCCGTTTAAAGGCACTTTTCTTTAAATTCAATAGTACTTCCTCTTAAACTTTACATTGTTTCACAAGGTGATGCAACACACCTTTTTCCTTAATTTCTTAATGGATAGTTCATTGTCAGGCGCTTGCTTCAGAACAGCTCTTATTGTTCTTTTCCAGTTGAATTTACCTGTGGAATTGATAAAAGATACTTTAAATGATCTCCATACATTTTGATCTAAATTACAAAGAAACTTAGTGCCACTCAAATATAACACTAAGTACTTCTTAAATATGTTTCTGCAATAATATAATCTTGGGGTTGTTAAAATATTGTCACTGAGAATAGTACTGAAAGTAATTGTGTGTGCGTGTGTGCCTTCAGCCAGTGTTGACCCCTGGCGACCACCTGGACCGGTCCTTGCAGTTTTCTTGGCAAGATTTTGGAAGTGGTTTGCCATTGCCTCCTCCTTCCTAGGGCTGAGAGGGTGTGACTGGCCCAAGGTCACCCAGCTGGCTTCGTGCGTAAAGTAGGACCAGAGCTCACGGTCTCCTGGTTTCTAGTCTGATGCCTTAACCATTACATCAAACTGGCTTTCAAAAGTAATCTAACTCTTCTAGCATAAGAGGATTATAGAGAATACTTTATTAAAAAAAGACTCTCAGAAATCAGCTTCTAGGACTCTCTCTCCAACAAGCAAAACATATGGCCTTCAATCCAGAAAATAACAGCTGGATTGATTGGGATTAAGTGAAGTTACATTTATTAGGGCCAAAAGACCTGAACAGCAAAATACATATATGTTTTAAAAGTTCAATGTAAGATAAGTCAGTTTGCCAAACAAAATGAGTGGGTAAATATAAAGCATTTGAAAACTCAAGACCTTGCATTTATAGCTATAGTTAAAATTTTTGCTGTCACTACTGTAATTTTAGGATTTTTATCTGATAAAAAGTAAAATTTTGACATATTCAAAAATACCACTTCCTGGCCTTGATTTCAGAATAGGCCAGATTATATCCTGCTGAAAACACTTATAAAAATTGCAATGCACCAAAATATGATCTACAATTTCAGTGTTAATACCATTACAGGGGCAACATCTGTGAAAGATAGGAAACTTTTGAAATCTACTCTATAGCATATTTGATGGCAACGTGTTTAATCTGGCTTTAAAGAAAGCTATTCTATATTCACTTAAATGTAAACTGCTAAGTTATATAGGGATCTGAAAGGTATAATTGCAATTTATTCCAAAGATTAAGAGTGAACACAGAACTTCGTTTTTTGCCATTAATTCCTCTACTGAGTTGTCCACCATCTTTCTTATTACAGTAAAATGGCCATTGTCATACCCCTAGAAAACAAATAATCAGGAACAATATCAATCTGATCAATATTTAGGGTCACCTGTTTAAACCACGTGTCAGCATAAGACTCATTCGGAATTTTGCATTATAGTCCCCCCCTCCCGTTTTTAAAAACATGTATTTGAAAGCAGAATTTGGCTATATTTATCCAAGCGTATGTTTTCATAAGCTCAGTTAAATAAGAGCTCTTTTGTGTTGCAAATTCTGTTATTCTCCTGGAAACCAGGCACTGTCCTCTGAAAAAAGTACAAATTCTGCTTCCAAATATTTTGTAGACATCTAATTTAAGCTATACCAAAGTACCATAAAAAGAATCTCCTGTGAGTCAAACTCAATTCTTATTCATGTAATTTTCTTGGTAACAGGACAGATATGCTTTGCCATTACAAGGTGATCCTACAGCCTGAGACTGTCTGGTGGACTTTCATCCAAGTATTAAGGAGGAGTGACAACACTTAAGGGTTTTGAGCTCAGCCAAGGGCAGCCTTGGGGACTACCACCTAGCTGGGAAAAGTATCATAAATCATCTCCTCAAAAGCCATCACTGAATCCCACCATACTGGACAATTTTCATCCAGTCTCCCACCTCCCCTTTTTAGGGAAGGTGGTTGAGAAGGTGGTGGTGTTGCAGCTCCAGAGGATCCTGGAGGAAACAGATTATCTGGATCCTTTCCAGTCAGGTTTCAGCCCTGAGTATGGGATGGAAACAGCATTGGTCACTCTCATGGATGATCTCTGGCTGGGCTCGGTACTCTCTCCGCTCCTTTCTAACATCTGTATGAAACCACTGGGTGAGAGCATCTGTCACCATGGGATGAGGTATCATCAACATGCTGATGATACCCAGTTATACATCTCCATCTGGGGTGAGGTGAGTGATGCCGTGACCATCCTTTTGCGGTGTCTGGAGGTTGTGGGGGTCTGGATGGGGTGCAACAGGCTTCAGCTGAACCCTGGCAAGATGGAGTGGCTATGGATTGGAGGCCCTTCTGTATCCAAGAATTTACCATCTTTGGTTTTGGATGGGTTTGCACTGCCCCGGACAGACCCGGTGCGTAATCTGGGGGTCCTCCTGGACTTGCGACTCCTGCTCAAGGAGCAGGTGGCAGTCGTGGCCAGGAGAGCCTTTGCCCACCTCTGTGTGGTACGTCAGTTATGCCCCGTCCTGGATCACTCATGCCCTGGTCATCTCTCAGCTAGACTATTGCAATGCGCTCTACATGGGGCTATCTTTGAAGAGTATCCAGAAGCTACAACTGGTCCAAAATGCGGCCACACAGATAATTTTGAGTGCTCCAAGAACGGCACATATAACACCTTTACTACGCGAGCTGCATTGGGTTCCAATCTGCTTCCAGGTCCAATTCAAAATGTTGGTTATCACCTTTAAAGCCCTACATGGCATGGGTCCAGGTTACCTGAGGGCTGTCTCATTCCCATTACATCAATCCATCCCACATGGTTAGGCAGAGAGGGGATGTTGCGGGTCCCATCAGCGAGAGAATGTCGACTGGCATGGCCCAGGAGGAGGGCCTTCTCTGCTGTTGCTCCTGCCCTTTGGAACATTCTCTCCCCAGAGGTGTGGCAGGCCCCTATCCTACCAGCTTTCCAGAAAAAATTGAAGACCTGGCTCTGCCAGCTTGCGTGGGGGGTTAACAACTCTACCGAATCCTGGGGGCGGCTAGCACCTCAGTGACACTCCCCGAGTGATCACCAATTATTTTGGATCTTTTTATTTTTTATTGTAATTTTATGATTTTAATTTATTTTAATTGTTTTGTAAACCACCCAGAGTCATTTAACAAGATGGGTGGTAACAAATTCGGTAAATAAATTAAAATAAATAAATAAATAAGAACCAGCAGCACAAAGAGGTGAGCAGCATCCAATTAACAAACAATATGAATTCAAATTCAAAATCATAAACAATAAAGGCTGCTGTGCAGGACCCCCATGCAAAGCTTAGTTAGAAGACAACGCTATCATTGTGGAGGCATCTGTGATGGAGGTTCAGGGTCATGGAAAAAAGCATCTACTCAGCCCCCAGCCTGAGCGTGGGAAAGCGAAGAGGATGAGACTGGCACCACCCTAAGGAATTTGTAGTGTTTAGTTGCAGACCTTGGGACTTAAAGTTAGTCTGGCGAGATTCTGTCTAGCAGGTGCGAGCTAATAAAGTAACTGAGCTGTTCCAGTACTGTTTCGTGGAGTTTCTTGGGCTGAACCTGACAGCATCATTGAGTAGGCTGGTATTATTAGTGTCGTTGTTGTCATTATTATGATTATTATTATTTCTTGAAAAAGAAAAAGCAAAAAAGGGGGAGAAAAAAGAAGGAAAAAAAAAAAAAAGACACCCAAACCCCAAAAAGAATAGAAAGGGAATTTACAAGCATCACAGAATTAGATAAGAATTGTCTATATTTCATTAATTTTATTAATGAAATTATATTTCATTAATTTTAAATAACTGAAAATATTGTGTCATTTAAAAAGCTATAGATCATTGTTAAAATCCAAGGAATTAATAACTATTAACAATAATCAGCACTGCATAAATAATAAAATAGGGTTGAGAATTTTAGTAATTATTATTGAAGCACCTGACAATCAATCCTGATTTAACAAATCACTGAAGGTTAGAATGCCCCAAAAGGGAACCTTAAAGATCATGTATTTCTATTGCCTCCCCTCTTTGGAGATTAAATTCTGTATCAAGGGTTTCAGCTATTTATCAGCCCTTCATGGCAGGAGACCTGTAAATCTTTTTTTTTTTTTTTTTGGATTAATACCCATAAAGCTCAACTGAGATGTTCCATTATTATCATAATAAATAGCTTTGATTAAACTTCCAGGTTTACCTTGATGTTCATCTTTGTTTTCTTCAGTTCCTGAGTAGTTCATTATTTTGTGGGGAATGGGAGATTCATCTGCATCTATAGGGGAGTAGGGAGAGAAAATCAAGAAATCAAGAAAAAAACAGAAGGTACCGTTGTGAGAATCATCACCATGTTAGGATGTTGGTGTTTGCTGAATCTGGTTTTCTCTTTACAAATATTTCATTATCCAACGTGGTAATGTCACTGATGTTATTAATTGTACTGTTTGCAAGAAAAAAACCACACTCAGGGAATACCAAAGTCCCAAAATTTCAGCTTTGAGTTACACGTGTTCTCCACTGCAGGGCCTAAATCCAACACAGAAAGCTTCTCATGTTCCTAGGTGAATAGCAAAGGGCACATTCCCAAGGCTGTTAATTTCACCAGTTTTGATTCCCCACATGAAAATTCTTCCTGTTCTCATACCTGCCTTTAAAGAGCCCAGTTTCATTTTCTCTACCTGATAAATGTTTAATGGATGAAGATAAATGGATCTCACTGCAAAATCACTAAAAGAGCTTTTAAAATTAGGAACATGAAAAATACATTTTGACCTTTTGTGAGATGGTTCTTGCACTTCTTCATGCGTGCCTTTGCCCCTGCTTTTCCTGTTCCATTCCTTTTTAGTTTAGCTGAACCAACTGCTTCTTGTGGCTTGCTCTCCTCAAGAATATCTCTTCTAGATTTTTCACTTTTTATACATTCTATGCTTTCTTGCTGAGCTTTTAACTTTATTTCTTTTGAATTTCTGATACTTTTCTTCTCTTTTAATTCCTTTTCGCTTTCTTCCTCTCTTGGTTTCTCTGTCTTCATGATATTGTCTTCGGATACTGCAGGCATAATTTCATTTTTTACAGATTGTGTTTCAAGTGTTTCCTGATAGAGAGATGAGGGGATTATATATCACCATGACAAGTCCAATATTTTACTAGTATATTTGAAGTCTATTTCTTTTTATTACTCCTACTACACTTTTCTTACGTCAATGGTTGAAGATCTCGGAGTGAATTGCAAATAAAAACATTACCAAGTGGAAGAATAGCAAAAAGAATAAAATGCAAACACAGGAACAATAAGTTTATATAACAATATAAAACATACTATCCCAATGTGGAACAGGCACTTAAAATCAAGCTGATAACCAAACAGCAAAAATGCTTGAGAGAAATAACTGTTTCACAGAAAGAAAAATTATTTCAACCAACTTTATTTGAAAGCAGAGCTTTGCAAGAATTAAAGCACTGAGTAATTATCCTCTCCTTTCGTCTCTCCCCCAACCTGTTATATTTTCCCTCTTTTCTACCTTCAGATTTAATGGATACTCCTCTGTAAATAGTCTATTAAGTCTTATTGGACAGTCACAAGCTGTGGCAGCTTTCATATTTCTATTCCCCTTTGGAAGCAACAACTTCCCACTATTGCCTTGATTGACTGGGAACTCTGAGCACCGCAGAAAATCCCAAGCTCTTCTACAGCAGCATTCCCCAACCGGGAGCCCTCAAGGTATGTATAACTAGGAACATGAAAGTAGGGCCATGCTAGCTGAGAATGATGGGGCTGTAGCCCAACACTTCTAGATGGTGCCAAGATGTGGACGACTGGCCTAGAATATGCTTTCAGCTTATGTGGGATACAGGCCAAGCCTGCTGAGTTTTCTTTTTGCCTGGTGTTGCCACCTGTCTTCTGTACCTAGGTAGCACTGGGAAGGCTGGTGGGGGGCAGATGAACTGGTGAGATATGCCTTGCTGCAGCTGCTGAGGAAAGAAAGGGGGCAGTGTACACCAGTTTTGCACTGTTTGCCACATCCAAATTTTGTTTGGTCCAGATTTTCTCTCTTGGTTTGGTTCAGGCTCACAGGGGCGTAACAGGATATTTTGCTACTTAATAAATGGAACTGTTAGTGAGTTTGCTTTGGTGCCCTGTGGCACAGTTTGGGAACTGCTAGTTAATAAACTTTGGTTTATTTTGTAAATGAAAAAGGAAGTGGAACTAGCCATCCAGGTACAAAGCAGTGTTTATTTAGCCATTAGATACGTGAGAAAAATAAGTTTTCAGGTGAATGGGATTGTTTAAATCAAACTGAAACATAAGAAATTTGCAATAGCCTTGGAGCTGGCTTATCACCTAGTTCACACCAGCCTGTTGTAAATCTTATAACATATCCATGACAACCCAGGAATCTGTCCTCAAGATGCCAATAAAGGATGTCTTCTTTGACATTTGGTACCCTAAATTGCCCCCTCCTTTTGACCTGTTTCTACTCACTAAGACAATTGTTTTCTTTAAAGATAGTAGATAGCAGAAGGGCAAGAAGTAATCAAGATCTATTGCTTATGAATATGTATGTATGCATCATTTCCCTCTTTTCTGAAATGTATAAATATCAGTCCATCACTTTTGTTTGGAGGAGTGTCTCTCATCATCCTTTTGGTGGGGTTCCCTCCAGTAGGTACTGTTTATATAATAAATACCGCAGTGAGCCTTGATTATTTGCTTTGGGTCCTGCGTTTTGATTCCACAAATACAATTAGTAAGTCCTTTTAAGGCCATAGTTTTGAGCACTGCTGTGTGGTGGTAGAATTTTGCAGATCCCACCTAGAAAATTGTTCAGCAACTGTTCAAAGTTACAATGATGCTGAATAAGAGTGACTTAGGATTGGTCCTTGGAGTTCCAGCCTTCCAAGTGTCCCTATAGTCACATGATTGCCATAGTTACACCTATAGTTACACTTCAAAACAATTTGCTCCAAATGTAGCAGTAATTGGTTTGCTTACCTTTCTTGTGGCTTCTGAAAAAATATCCCATACTTGATCCTGTAAAGTTGTATTACGTATTTTCAAACTGTTGGTCATCCAGTTCTATTGAGGCAAGTGGGGAGGGAAACACTTCTATTTCATTAGAACACAAACACATTTTCCGACAAAACTAGTAAACCAGCAGAAGGCCACGCCTACCTGTTCTTAAACTACTTCCTCCAGAATCTGTTAACAACCAAATGTGCAGAAATCTCAGAAGACATGGCAGGCCAGTCTGCTGTAATTCTGGTGTGAACATTAGCCTTTCAAGGTACAGCAGTGGCCAAGCAGAACTGCCTGTCTCTCTGCCTATCTTGAGGTTGCCTGAGGTGTGTCTCTGCTCCTTTGCACCTGACACGTGCATAGACGGGGCTGTGATGCCTGAGGGAGTGTTCAAGCACTGGGACCCTCTGCAGGCAAATGTGTCCAAGGGAGCCCTGAGTTGCAGCCTCTATCCTCCTTCTCTACGTGTATTAATTCATCATGTTGGAAGAGCACATGAATAACAATACGGACAGGTACAAAAAATACAAATTGCCAAAAAGGTCCCAATGAACTTGCACTTTTTTCTCATTCCCAGTTAACCAAGCTCCAAAGTGCCTTTCTTTGGAAAACTTTGGCATTTAAGCAGCTTTGGGGTAAATATTTGCCAACAACCACTCAGCTCCCCAGATCTTTTGACCGTCTCCCCATTTACCTCCTCACGCCGCTGCTCATATCTGAGGGGTGATTGCAAGTGTGCCTTTTGCTCAGTTTGCTCAGAGCCTCAAAAAACTTGGCTGTTAATCACTGTAGGGGAAGGGCTGGAGGAACCCTAATTTGGAGGTTGCTCTTTATCTAGACCACAAGAGGATGCACCTGAAAGGCAGTGGAACCTTGCTATGCCAGCTTCTCTGTGCAAAACTCTCTTGCATATGGAAATATTTTAAATAAGTTATTTTTCTGAATATCAGAAAATCTACTTTCATGAACAGTTGGGAAAGGAAAAGTTAGTAGGAGCTTCAGTGTTTTTTCACTTAAAATCATATTCTTGGAATTTTTATCCTAAAGTCTCCTACTCATTCTTTTCTAACTTTTTTTGAAGAGATGATATTCATTCATAGATATGGTATTTGTTTGGCTAGTATAATTAAATAGCCGAAACAAGCAAAACATGCTTCTTTAGGAGCTCAGGACTTTCAAATTATTGGGGAAACGTGTGTTCCACAGTATAATTTAAGATACACTGAACTATGTCGATTCTTTAGGAGAATTGTAATTATTTACTTTTCCTTTAAGGAACCATAATAAAGAAAACCTCTACAGTGCTAGGACAAGTTTGAGGCCTAAATGCTTCACTCATACCTGAAATTTGCGCTTCTTTCTTGGAATATTGTCATAGGCATACATCTGTTGTAAAATTTCTCGAACTTTGAAGTTAATGTTAGTTTCCTTTATTATTTCATGAATCTTCTGCAAATGAAAAATAAGACTAGTGTTGCCGGATAATACATTAATAGAACATTTTATATGTTTGTTATTGTCTCATGGAATTTATACTGTGAAGTGCTACAGGGTTAAATATAGAGATTAAAATGCTGAAGCAATTCACAGCATAAATTAATGTAACTCTACATGTGGCATTATATTTTATTACTTAGTTTTATTTATTTTTACTGGGCCTTGGGCAGCATTACAGAAAGGGTGGGATATAACAAATAATGTACACATTTTTCTCAAATTAAATGCAATTGTGGTGTGCTTTGTCTACTTCACCTGAATCCACTCCTGCTGTTTGACATCTCCTTTGTGCATTTTGGGTTCGTAATTCTTGCCACCATACTTCTGATCTTCACTTAGGCACTTCACATGGTGTTTATAATCATCACCCCTGCATAGTAAAAGTAGATATAAATTACCCTTATAGAAGGCATTTAGCAGAGCTCTTCCCAAACATTATACATTGTGCTGAAATGTATTAAAGCAGTATTATAAATTCCAGAGAAGACATTGGTAGGGCTAAGCTAGCTTTTTTCAGCTGGGGCTCCATGAGAGTGTGTGACTGAAAAAAAATTTTTTTCCCCTTATGCTGTGCAATAGTGATGGGAAATGTTATGTGCCACCACTCAGCTGCTGGCCTGCTGCTTTGCTGTAAACATTGCAAAATGTGGATTTTGTAGGTTAGAAGTGAGTTGTATTGTAAAGTTTTCTTATTTTTTGTGATTTTTATGCAGGGGTTCCTTGAGACCTGAAAATTATGTCAAGGTTTTCTCCAGGGTAAAAAAGGTTGAGAAAGGCTGGTCCAGGCAAAGAACTTGCTTGGCACCAAGGCATTTAGAGGACCACCCCCCCCTTATGGAATACTTCTCCAGTGTGGACTGCCTGCCAACATCTTTTAATGCCACCCCCATGCCAGGGAGGTGAAAGGCAGGGGCTTGCAAACAATGTTTCTTTGCAGCAGCCCCTATTACAGAATACTCCCCTCCCCTTATTATATTGGCACTCCTCATTGTTAGCCTTTGGGCAACTATTGAAGACAGAGTAGTTCCAGAAGGCTTTTGAGAATGAATGGTCACCATTACTTACTGCTTTATAATTACTTGTGTGTTTGCTGTTTTTTCTATTATTACTCAGTTTTTCAGTTGTAAACCCCCAAAAGTCATTTTTGTTGAATCCAGCAGTATATAAATGCAATAACAGAAGAAATAAACTCTGCACATGTGCTGAAACTCAAGATATGTTTCAAATAGATAATAAATAACTGGCTTAGGAAGTTTTAAATTCCTTCCCCCTACCCCTCCCAGTTTTACCTTTTCTCAGAATACTCCATTCAATTAATTCTCATATTTCCTGTCTCTCTCTGTCAATTTTCCATAACCTGCCCACACTGGGCTCTATCAAACTTTTTGTTACTTTAGAGGAAGTTTCTAAATAATTTTTTTCTATAATTAGGGATTACACATAGCCTGTTTATTGTTAGTTTAGTTTAGCTGCTTCTGATTTGGTTATAAAGCCAAGTGGGCTACTTGAGAATGATAAGCACAATTCCAATACTTCTCCTGGAAAAAGAACATCTCCTTCCAGTCAACCTTGATGCCTGAGAACTCCACGGACATCTCTTGGCAACAACATGGACCTTTTTTTGACTTCCCAGTCCAGCCTAAAGCTCTGGAACTCCCAGGCAGCCTACCAGCCAAGCACTTACTGGTGGCAAGCCTGCTTAACTTTCAAGCTCAGAAAAAGATGCTGCAACTGCTAAAGTCTATGAAAAAGCTTCACTGAAAGTAAGAGACCTCATGTGCTAAATGTTAAAGAAACAGTCTGATTTCAACCTACCAGAAATCTTTGCCGCAATCCATACAAGACAGACATTGACAGTTTCGGCACATATTCACATGCTTTTCCACCTGTCCCTTCTTCAGAGATTCTCCACATGCATTACATGTAAAAAACACCATTTCTGGCAAACTAATTAGATCTGTTTCTTCAAAGTCTGATGAACTGCTCTTCAACAAATTCTAGAAATAAATTTAAAACAGAATTAATAGGTCTGATGCTACATTTATGATTCTGTTTCAAAGGACAAAACTACCAAAGCACATGATAGAAAATTACTCTCAGAGCAACCCACAGAGAAAATCACCATACAAGCTGCCACTATTTTATTTTTTGCAAAAAAGTGATAAAAGTAATGCAATACAAAGGATAGCAAAAAGATGCGGCGGCTGACCGTACAGAGATCAGGCCCGCCAGTCGCGGTGGTGGAATACGCGCTGCCCTGCCAGGATCTGGAGGAACCGACGCGTCTCATGCCAGGCAGGGTGGGGGGGCAGCTCCTGGGGCTTCCCCCGCCAGACCACAGCGGGACCGGCAGGCCTCCCAGGGTCCGGGCGGTTTTGCGTTCTTGTCGGGGCGCAGGTACGCTTCCGGCCTCTCGAGCCAGTTCCGAAGCGTTGCGGGGGAGGCCATGTACCTACCTTGCCTTGTTCAGCCGCCCCTCCCCCCGCATGCCCTCATTAACTCCCCACCGGTGCAATACACCGAGCCTCGAAGGGAAAAAACTGACACCCCAGGGAACCGCGCTGCCCCCGCCTTACGGAGCGACGAACCGGTCGCGGGGAGAGTCGCGCCTCTCACGGGCGCTCAGACCGACTTCGACCAAGCTGCGAACGG